CTTTTCTACATGGGTGGTTGTCAAAATTATGGTCCCTTTTTGGGTCCTTATTATGATACGGCACCCATTATTTAGGGTACCCCAAAAGGGACCATAATTTTGACAACTACCCATATCACAGACCCTATAACCAAAGAACTAAGTACCACGGTTTAGGGTTTAGGGGTTTAAGGGTTTAGGGTTTAGGGTTTAGGGTTTAGGTAAAGGGGGAAGTTATGAGCCTCTAGGTCAAAGTGTCCATGGTTCAGGGTCGTGGGCGGCAGGGGATGACTACCGTTCCTCTTGGAACGCCAGTCCAGGTGTAGGGTCCTGGTCGTCCGCATAAGTAGAATTAGTACCCCCTTGTAGTTCCTGATTGACGTACTAGTTTATGAACTCCTTGAATCTTGACCATGTAGCCAACCAATGACTGAATAGATGATATACCACCCAAACCTTATAATCAGTACAAGGCCCCCGCTATCCATGTTGAAGAAAGCATTGCACACATCCGAACTTGACCCCCCAGCCAAAATTTCCAAGCCTGAGATCCGACACCCCAGATAAGGAAAACCCAACCCACATACCTAGTCCTCCCAAGCCTTGCAAGAGACCCTGGCAGAACCCAGAAAAATCCTAATCCCTAAACCCTAAACCCTAAATCCTAAACCCTAAGCCCTAAACCCTAAACCCTAGAGGAAAGCCCCAAGCCCTGAGAAGCAGGCACACATTGCAGCTGGGGGAGGTGGAGGCATGCCTTCGGGACCTTGAGCCGGGTTCAGGATTGAATATAGACGCCTTAAAAATTACCTTTTCTATTCGGGGTTTCCTTATTATAAGTATAGTATAATTTGTCCCAAAACCCTATTCTAATTATCAAGGCCCCTACATTAATTGAGGGTTTCGCGGGCTTGGATTTAGGAGCTAGGGTACAGCATGTAGGGCCCATGTTCACAGGAAATTTGGGTTCAGGATTGCACCGGGTGCAAAGACTTTGAGTTACGACTCCTTAATCATGGAAACTTACACCTTCTACCTCGTAAGCCTTGATCCCTGAATCCTAAAACTCTTTTCAGGCTTAGCATTTGGGGCTTCAGGGGTTTAGGGTTTAGGGGTTGGGGCCTAGGATTGACGGTTGTTGGGGAATCGGTCAGAGGGGGCTCCGAGCTTGTTTTCATGTGGCGATGTGTTCGATGTGCTACAGATAGGGATCACCAGACCCCAAACCCGAAATCCTAATCCCAGGTTCCCAAGCCCATTGAGGGGCAGTAATATAGGGGCTTAAACAATTACCTGTACCATTATATTTACAGTATAATATACCCCAAAACCCTATTCTAATTATTAAGGCCCCTAAATTATGGCTTGAGCGTTTCGGGCTCAGGGTATTGGGGTTCGGAGTTTGCTATTGAGCTTCGAGACTCTAGACAACTTCAGAAAACGGCCGCAGCGGGGTCGTCGTCTGGTTGGGCAGACCCTAATTCCCACCACCTGCCACTTGGTCTTTGTTTGGGCTTCGCAGTCTGGTGCGTGCATTTTTTTGCCAGCGCTTTCTGGTGCGCGATAGAGCTGGTAAGGCTTAGCAGCAAATTTAGGGTTTAGTTTTGGGGTTCAGGGGGCTTTGCATGTAAGATTTGGGCGTCGTGGGGTACGGTATTAATCCAGGGGTGTGGGCATGATAGGGTGGTGGGTTAGCCCTTGAACCCCAAACCCTAAACCCTAGAACCTTAAACCCCAAGGCTAGAAAAAGCCTTCATCATGATCGAAGTTTCTTCCGACGTTTCCGGCTCTCAGTTTTGACCCCATGTCTTACGTTGCGTGGCAGTTGACATGTCAAATTCTCTTTCAGAGTTACTTCATCGTTGACTATCGTGCAGAATACATCTATCTCATCTTCGCAATGAGCTTACGCCATCGCCCCACGAGAACTTCGGGGTCCGAATTCTCAGAAATCCCCCTAGTTGCGACGGGGTTGGCGGGGTCCGGGGGCTCCCTGTTTCGGAGTCAGGTAGTCTTAGGAAGCCTCACATCATGCCGACCGGGCGCCTGAAGAAGTTCGTGGCGGAGAAGGGCTTCGGGTTCATCACCCCAGATGACGGTGGCAGGGCTCAGTGTTAGGGTTTAAGGTTTAGGGTTTAGGGTTTAGGGTTTAGGGTTTAGGGTTTAGGGTTTAGGGTAAAGGGTTTAGGGTGCAGGGCTCAGTGTGGTGTTTTTTGACGTTGAGGGTGGAGCCGTCACAGCCAGGGTCTTTCTCTAGGCCCTAAACCCTAAACCCCTAAACCCTAAACCTTAAACCCTAAACCCGAAACCCTAAACCCTAAACCGTTCTAAAAACACCAGACATCCTAAACCATTAATTTTGATGATGTGGAGCCCTGGAGTTTCAGGGTGTCTCTTCCTGGCATTAATGGCATCATCGGCTCGGTTGGAGCAAGTGACCGTCTCCCCGTCAGGTACCTTCGACGTAGCGTTAGAGGACAGTCGCATTTGTCAGAGGCATGATTCCATAGGGTTTATGATATACCCCCGAACCCGCTTCAGGCCCCCATATCGATCCAGACGTCTACGTAGTCTAGTCTAGTTGGACCTCACCCTAAACCCCTACACCCTAACCCCTAAAGCCCTAAACCCCTAAAGACCTACTCCTAGACTCATTCGATTCCAGAATTTCAGACCCTAAACCCGAGCCCGTAAGCCCCTGTAAGCCCTAAACCCTCACTCAACCTAGATACTTTAGGGTTTAGGGTTTAGGGCTTAGGGTTTAGGGTTTAGGGTTTAGGGTTTAGGGTTTAGGGTTCCGAGGTTGGGTTTAAGGTCTCAGAACAGAGACACTTCCAAAAGCAGTAGCCTTGCACTCGAAGCCCTGATGTAGGAGCCTAGACAATTACCTAAACTATTTTGGGGTTCCTTATTATAACTATAGTTTAATGTACCCCAAAACCCTATTCTGCTTATTAAGGCCCCTAAACCCTAAACCCCAAACCCTTATGGTAGCCCTTATAGAACCCTTTAAGGAGCCCTTTAAGGAACCCCAAAACCCTA